TCCATATTGGGCTCGAATTGTATCTGTAATCATATGTTGGAGTTGTTGGATAGAGAGTGCAGCAACAGAAATCTAAGAAGAATCTCGTATGACATTTTACGTCACGGCTCAATCATACTACTCTTGCTTTTGTTGGTTTTCTAAAGATTTAGGATTTTCTGGTGTTTTGGTACTAGATGAATTTAGATTTTCTTGACTATTATCTTTTGAATGTTCTTGCAATTTGAGCCAATTCATTAGTGCGGCGATTTGCATATATTTTCCTTCAAGAGTTTTGGTTAATCTTTCGATCATAGTAGTGAGTCGTTGAATATTTTCTTCAGATGAAATAGCTTTCATCACCATCACAGGCCTAGGTGTATTAGATGCCGATGAATAATTACCCCATTTCTGCTTAGGAGAAGTCTCGGAAGATTCAGTCATCGAACCAGTGTTGGAGTGTGTACTGGGTAGAGAATTGTCGATTTTTCCCCCAGATCGACAGTAGAATGGGCAGGTTGTCTCATTTTTGTTGGAAGAGCCTTCTTTTTACTTTGCTTAGAGCAATGCTCCATTGGTGGCAATAGTTGAGATTTGTCCGCCTTTGTTCTAGTGTGGGTTGTTAGAATTGAATTCTCAACCAGATCTGCTAACTTGTCAGTAGAAGGAATGACAATGTCTTTGACTGTCATTGCTGTCAAGCTTGTTGACTTTTTGACTTTTAGAGATTAGAGGAAGAGAGTGTCCCACCAGGTGTGTGAAAATTTGTAACGACAAATTTCGTGAATGTAAATTAACACAAAATAAGGTCAAATTACAATGGTCAATTTGATTGACTTTAAGTAAAAGAATGTAGTATTGACTCTCTTCGAAGTGCTTCTCACGTGCACTGTCTTTTGATTCTCAATGAGTTTGATGACGAGGGCCGTATCGGCGTATTTCTCGATCTTTGATTTGGTATTGACTTTGGTAGATTTGGTGAAGACAAGGGCTTGACCAGTGTATTCCTCAATCTTCAATTTGGTGATGCTTTGGTAGATTTGTTGAAGGTGAGAGTCTGATTGACATGGTTCTCGTTCTTCGATCTTTGACTTGACTTTGTCAAATCTTCACACCGTTCTTTGTGTTGAATGACTTAACGATGATTTGGATCTCTTGAAGAAGGACCTTAGCGGTGTTTCTTCTCGTTAGAGATAGATTTGCAAGACCTTAGTTGGGGGTAGACTCTCGCCGAGGTTCGCTATTAATATTCCCTTCTTCTCTTGATGTGGAATTGGGCAACGCTTTCTTGATCTTCCATCCTCTTTGACTTCTCGTGCTCCTTCTTCTTGGTTTCCTGACCTCTATTTATAGGGGTAGGAGTTGTTATCCATATAAAAGTATTTTACTTAAATACCCTTATATAGATTTTAGGTAACGGACTATCCAAAAATTTGTGGGTTTTAGTTAATTTATGAAATTTAAGTCCAACATTTTTTACCTTTTAAATGTTTATTTAATTTAGGCTTATGGAATTTAAGTCCATTTAATTTAACAAGCACTGTTAATTATATTTTGGCTTGTATTATTTGGGATATGAAATTTAGATCCAACTCAAGCTTATTTAATTAAATTTAGACTTATAACATTTGGGCTTATGAAATTTAGTTCCAACCCAATTTTATTTATCTAATCAATTTGAGTCCAATTATAGACATTAATTTTTTAATGTCTACACCTTCATCTCAAGACACTGAGTCCAGAACAATAACCAATCTAGATTTTTTTATTCTAGTTGCAACAGGATCATATTATACTTAATTCCCTTATTTTCTTTCTTTCTGAAGGAATTATTGCTCACGTAGTGGGCTGTTCTACTTTGAGTGATGTATGGTTCATGCTGGAGAAGATGTTTGCTACACACTCGAAGACACGAATTATGCAGATTTGTTATCAGCTTGCTATAATTAAAAAGGGTTCTTCTTCAATAACAAACTATTTTCCAGAAAATTAAAGGATTTGCTGATACTCTTGTTGCCATTAGGCAACCACTCAATGACTTTGACCTTATTTTGTATATCTTGGCTGGCCTTGGTTCGGCTTATCATTCTTTAGTTACTTCTTTAATTACTCGCATTGACCCTATGATGGTTGATGATTTGTATGATCATATGATATCCTATAAACTTCGATTGGAGCATCAAACTGTTGTTATTGACTTCTCCCTTTGGATCTGCAAATATTGCCACTCGAAACAATACCAATAGCATTCGTAGAAAATAACCCTCATTCTCAACATATCCCAATCGCTTTTCTACATATCCATCAGATTCAAACCGTTCCTCTAATTCTTCAGGGCAGCAGTGTGGCAGGGGCATGGACACGGTGGTTCATCGCAAACATCTAACAGACTAGTTTGTAATAAAAGTGGACCTATTTCCCTCTGCTGTTTTCAACGCTTCAATCATGCATATCATGGTGATCAACCTGGTAATTTGAGTGCTTTTATTTCCACCCCACAGAATGCTTCTGACCTCAATTGGTATCTAGATTCGGGAGCAACAAACCATTTGACTGCTGATATCCACAATCTCAATCTTCGGGTTGACGAGTACACAAGAGGTGATCACAACCGGGTTGGCAATGGTACCAGCCTCCCTATCCAACATATTGGTTCTATTAAATTACTCACTCCTCATTCTATTGTTCTATTAAATAATATTTTGCATGTCACTGACATTCAAAAAAATCTCTTTTTCGCTAGTCAATTTGTTTCAAAAAATAATGTGATTTTTGAATATCATCCTTCTTGTTTTATTGTTGAGGATCGACTCACAAGGAAAATTCTTCTACAAGGCTTGAATGAGGGTGGTCTCTACAAACTGCCAGTGTCTTCCTTCAATAATTCTGCTTGTCTTGCCTTGCTTGGTGAAAGCATCTTTGGATCAGTGGCATCGTCGGCTTGGACATCCAGCACTTTGCATTGTTCATTAAGTTGTTTCATCTAATAATCTTCCAATGACTTCACAAAAAGTATCTGGCACGTGTGATTCTTGTCAGTGTGCCAAGGGTCATAGTTTTCCTTTTTATCTTTCATTGTTGAAATCTCAATTTCTTCTTGAACTTGTGTTTTCGGATGTATGGGGTCTTGCTCCTCTTCCTTCAAATAATGGAAATCGATATTATGTTACATTCGTTGATGACTATAGTCAATTTACTTGGTTGTTTCTCATCTAGCGCAAATCTGATGTTGAAGTAATTTTTTGACAATTCCAACTTCACGTTGAAAGATTATTTGACATAAACATTAAATCTCTTCAAATGGATTGGGGTGGTGAATATCAATGGATAAATAAATACAGAATGTTTCTGATGCGCATTAGTATTGAAAACTATTGGCGCTCTACAATATCTTTCCCCGACTCAACCCGATATCTCCTTCGCGGTCAACCATGTATGCAATTTATGTCTTCTCCTAGAGGGTTTCATTGGTCAGTAGTGAAGCGTATATTATGCTACCATCAGTCATGACCTTCTTTTTTGCGCTGGTTGCCTCAATGATCGTCGTTCCACTGGTGGATATTGCTTGTATTTTGGGACTAATTTGATGTCATGGAGTTCCCACAAACAACCAACCAACCGTAGCCTGTTCAAGTACTGAGGCCGAATATCGAGCTCTTGCTAATTTGGCTTCAATCACTTTTACACGATCTCAAAATTTTTCTATCCAGCCCTCTTGTTTTGTGGTGTGACAATATAGGGGCCACTTATCTATCTGCTAATCCAGTTTTACATGCTTAGACTAAACATGTTGCAATTGGTTATTATTTTCTTCGTGAGAAGGTTGCTTTGTTTCCAGTAAAGATCAAATTTTCGATGTCCTCACCAAACCCCTTATTTCCATTCGCTATACATCTCTGGCAAGCTCAATATCTGTCACCTCCCGTTAAGCTTGAGGGGCCGTATTGCATCATCAAGTGATAAGGATAAGGATGAACAATAAAAACAATGAAGATCGAGTTGGTACCTGTGATGATCACAAGAGATAGTTAGCCGAATTTTATAATTTGAAATTTAAGTTTGTAAACAGATTAGGATTTTCTATATCTATCTTGTAAAGAATTTGTATATAAATATACAAATCCTCAACTAAAGTTAGGGTGAGGAAATCAAATTCTGATAGAATTCTTTGACTTTATTATCTACGCATCCCTCTCCTCAGTTGGATCTCTACCTCACACATATCCCCCATCTTTCTATTTGGAACATTCAGGTAATAGTAAAAAGTATTTGATTTTCCTAGACCTCCATGGGCATCAAGCTTTAATTCACTGCATCGCCTTGGAATTGCTCACTAGTCAAACTCACAGTCACGTCCCCAAAGCTGAATTGAGAATTAGGTTTTTAATTGTGATTACGAATTTCTCTCTAACTTTCTTTCTCTCAAATTCTATTCCTCTTTCTGTTGAGTGTTCATAAATTATGTGAGTACTTGATAATGGGTATTTGTAGTGTCTTGGTGGAAGTTGCGGATGTGGTAGTGAGATAACAAGTGACAAGAGGAGAAAGATGAGAGTGAGGAGGAGCGGGGAGGGGGTGGTTGTGTTACGAACGAGGGTTAGGTGATTGGGTTGACTTGCAATGGAGGTGGAGTATAATGGATTTTGGGTGGCGGAGGGGTAATGGAGGTGGTGAAAATTGATGGCTAGGATGGGGAATTACTGGCCACATTATGTGGGTTTAGGCAATGTGGCTGGAGCATGGAATATAGGTTGGAAAATGGGAGAAATATCAATTCTTATTATTTTTTTTTTATTTTTGTCATTTGCTTTTTTTGTAAAATACCAATTTTCTTTTTTGAAAGAGCAATATGTGATCAACATGGTATTTTTTTTAATAAAAAATAGAACTAGTGTCAATCATCACATTCGTTCAATATTTAAATAAGAAAAATATTTATTTCTCTTCATTTGAAAAATAATTTAAATTATAAAATATAAAAAAAAAAAAAAAAAAAAAAGAGAGGATGTTAACGAGGCTCTCCGGGCTCAAACGCGAGGCATCTATCGTGAGACGCTACAGGGGCCTTCACCACCAAACACAATTTAGTCTCGACTGAAGCTCTCTCCATTACGCATTTCCTCCTCCTTGCATTGAACTATCCCTCTTTAACCCCTAAAATCAAGCGGAAGAAAGGCAAAAGGTTGGTCTTTCATGCTTGAATTATTTCTATACGGATAGAAATATAGCTTTTCTTTTGAGTGGATATTAATTTTTCACTTACAATCCCGTGCCTCGATTGATATCCTGTAAACCCATGAATATTTTCAGATTTACAACTGTGATTCTCTTTCGATGATTTTGGGTATCTTTGCGCCAGTCTTATATCAGTGTTTAGGGTGTGTGGGTTTTTAACTTTTTTTTTTGGGGTGGACCAAAGAGATGGTTCTGGGTATGTCTAAAATTTATGAACGTAATCAAATTTAGTGTTTGTTGTGCATCATCATGATAGGTTTTTTAGGATTTTGTGGTCTTGGTGACTGGTTCAATGTTCATTTGTTGTGCCTTCCTTCTATTTATCCTTACAAATAATTTTTGATCAAATTCAAGTGTTTCATTGAGACTTCGTTTTTTTTAATCATTGTCATCTTCTTCATATACTATACGGGAATCCTTGGAAACCTATGTATTTGCATGACCCCTGCAGATTGAACCCTATCTACACCCGGAGCCAATCCCTTAGCGGTCCTGCCACCACGCCGCAGAACGGGAGCTGGTGTGGAACCTTTTCTTTCTGGCGTAAGAGCGGTAGAACGTAACAAAATATTTCGGCCGCCTAACATAGGGGCCGGAGGTACGGTAAACTCGGCCAAAATATGACACCCGAAGGGCCGGGCACGCACAATCCTATCCGAGTCCGAGTTTACCCCTTGCACTTCGGACAGCCGTCCGTAGCATCATAAGGAGGACCCCCATGTTTTGATTATCTTATTGCCCTAAACTTAAGGTGCTAAAAGGGGGAAAGGGTATAGCAAATGAAGCATTAGGTGGTGATAAATAATTCGATGTTTCATAATATATAAAGCATATGCATCTAGAGAGATCAAACACTTAAAAAAATTATCTCAAAGGGTTGAGATAGTCAACGCCACTGTTTCTATGATGCTTTACTAGCATGCTGTTTTTTCTTTGGAATAAGATTTGATTACCATGAGAAAGAACATGGAAATACGGAAAAGCATGGAGGTGTCCTTGGTTTCAGATTATACCATTCATGGCTGTTTGGACGCCAATGCTTATATTCTGAGAAAGTCTCATTACTTAGCATTTCTTCTGCTTAAAGTTACATTATGATAGCACAGTGCTTTGGCTTTTTTTTTTTTTTTCTTTTTAAATGGAGTACTACTCTTGTACAGGATGCATATTATATGTCATGTAGAGTGGGAGTGATGTGTGAGAAGAAAAAATTGAACCGATCCTCAGGTTTTAAATTTGGACCAGTGAGTTCATGTGTTGTGACTGGATCCACTTTCAGAGCAATTGACATTTAAATGTGAGGGCTGTAACCTTGTTGGGAAATCTTGTGATGCTAGCATGTTTTCTGTTAGTGTCTTTTCTTGGTTGGTTCTGGATATCTTGAGAGTTTTAGTATTTTGGTGATTGTCGTCATTTCTCTCTAGAATAACTATTCAGATGAAGTTCTTCATGTGCCTTTTTGGTCCACCAGCACCAGTTGCCTCATGTGGTACTAAACATTCTGCAGGGACTTGTGACAATGGTTGGGCTGCCAACACAGAAAGCTTCCTCTGCCTTAGATTTGCCACAGCAGCAAAAAGAGCAAGGTTCAGCTGTTGTGGCACCTATGTCCAATTCAAAGCCAAAGAAGAAAATATGTTGTGCTTGCCCTGACACCAAAAAGTTGAGAGATGAATGCATTGTGCAGCATGGTGAAGCCGCTTGTTCTAAGTGGATTGAGGCTCATCTCCAATGCCTTCGTGCCGAAGGCTTCAAGGTTTAAAAATGGTGACAATAGCTCACTTGATGAATTGGAGGACAAAACAATTTTGTAGAGTAGCCTGTTCATTTTGACAAATTGGAGGTTTATTCAGTTTTATAGAATAGCCTGTTCATTTTGGGAATACACAAATGAATAATGGCAGCTTTAATTGACTATTACATACAAATGATGTGTTCATTTACTTGTGTTACTGTTGAAGTAGATGATGTTGGTCCTTTTTTATGATAATATCATGGTTAAAATAAATTGATGGTTTAGATTGGAAATATTTTTCATGATTTGATTCGTAAGTTCGTAACTATGATTCGATTTTTGGGTGTTCGTCTTCACTTTTTCAATAAATGGATTAGGTCAAGAGATGCATTCTTTCGTTTCCAGTACTGTTCAATTCTTAAAGTTCCAGTGGTTATGCTTATTCTTGTCGATAGCATAAGCAGAGGGTTGTAATTCAGTTTCTACTTTTGCACCATCTATATATTGCAAAAAACCATGTCGATTGTAATTGATTGTGTAATTGATACATCCCATGGTGGGAAACTATATTGCAGGGAAAAAAAAGTTTAGAAAGACACCTGTGGATTATATTAGACAATAGTATATTCAACAACAGAGTCACGGATGTGACCATTACACACAGCTATGAAGGACACACATGCACGAACACGATTGACACACATTGACACACACACATGAACACGATTGGCACACATTGACACACACACACACACACACACTTAATCAACAATCACCATGACAAGCATTAATACAGAAAACGCCAACTTATTCTCCACAACCACATTACGGTATATCATGATCATCCTGGGTGCTTAATGACCACAGGTGCAAGTGGTGCAAGTGCAATTTGCACCACATTTGCACTTGCCATCGTTCTCGGCTGCTGCTGGAACATCCATCACAATCGTCTCGATGTAGCTGCAAAAGAAATTTATAAAACGTGGTGAGCTATGTTGTTGAGGCCAGTTTCTATAATTGTTTTGTATTATTTGGACATTTTGCTACCTTTGCACATTAGGCTATCAATAAGATTTCTCTGAAATTATTCTCTTCTGTTCAAGTGCTTTTGCATTCATTGTTAGGATAACAAACTATTAAAGTTCTTGTGTAATTTGCTTTCGTTTAATTATGCTCCCTAAGCAGGCATCATTCATACTTGAATCAGGATTGTGGTGTATGATCTCTTGCCTCTTTCAACACACACAGATCTCCTTTTGATATATTATTATTGCAGAGATTACACTCAAGGAGTAATTTAAAGCAACTTCAACGAGAGCGGTGTCTGTATAATTTGTGTAGTGAGTGCAAAGTGTAGTTATCTCTTTTGGTTTCTTGAAATACATCAGATTAATTATTGGGCAGCGAAGGTACCTCTTATCAGTCTCCACAAAATCAATGGTGTTTCCCTTCTTCCTGCAAATTCCATATCATATATGTTAGCAACAAGCGAGTTTATGTACTACCTTGAATAATTAAAGATGATAGCTTGATTTAAATTATTGCTCTGTTGAAAAAGATTGGTAGCAACCACAAGTCCAAGGGAGACGTGATTGTGGGTGGATCGGTTCTTGGTTATCCCAAAAACATGATTCAAGTGTGGCCTAAACTCCTGAAATTCAGGATATGAGCACTGTGAGGTCTGAAAGAAAGGATATGAAACGATGAACTAGAACGTAGCAACTCTTGTAATTACATTATTATGTTTTTTAGCTGCAAAAACAGAGATGAAGAAATACTAACACTGCATATATCAGCATAAGAGCAAGCATTACTATGGTTTATTTATTTTGTATTTCAGGCTCTGTATAGAACAACTATGCCCAGCTTGACAGCACGGTATGTACCACACAGTTTGGTTTATTTGTGAAACACGGGTAAAACATAAACCCGCACGTCTAATCGATGCGTATGGTTGTGGTTGATTGTATATATCCGAAACTTACATTACAACCATGAAGAATCTAAAATCACGTTGTTTTGATGATTTCAGGCATAAAATCTGAACTTGATAACCACGCACAAATAGATATGTGCAGATACTCATACAACATCAATACAAAAACGAGGAGCAAACACTTACACGCACTGGCTCTTGTCAGCACAGTCGCAGTTGCCACACTTGTCCGACATGGTGAGTCACAGAAAGTTTTGCAGGAAAAATGAGCAGGGAATTAGTTTTTGCAAATGGTATGTATGAATTGCTATATCTCCAGGCTCTTTCCTTGGTCTGGTATTTATAGATGGAGAGATGAAACATTGCAATGATGCCAATAAGTGTAGAGGCCCCAATGTGGGACCCACAATAATGGTCATTATGCGAAAAAAAATATTGGGTGTTACGGTTATGCTATCTTAACTTGTCAGACTACTGAGATAGTATGGATAAGGTGTCAACATCATATTGAATATTTACTCCACTGTGGGAGCTTCAAGGCGTGGGAGAAACACACGCTTCTAAGAAAAGTGCAAAGGAATCTTCATAATGGAAGGGTTGGCCTCCTATCCTCCTCTCATGTCACCTTCATTTCTCTTTTATGAAGGAAGACCACTAGGAGATATATCTTCTCTAATTATTATTTTTCTTGATGTGATAAGGAAGTAGAAATATGAAAAAAAAAAAAATAGAAAATTAAATATCAATAAGTATCATCGTTGGTTAGGAAAGAGAGATGGAGGGACAAATTTTCCTTTAAACTCTCCGAAATTTAATTTCTCCAAGTTAGGCATAAAAATAGAAAGAAAGATAAAAATAGTGCATATTATTTATTTTTACATTGATTAACATGAATATCCTATTGATCCATTAAGTACAAAAAAAAAAAAAAAAGTTAATTTCGTATATGAGGATATAATAGTAAAATAAACAGATGCATTTTTTTTTTGCTTTCGTTCCACTTTTTTGTGTTCAAAAAAAAGGAGAAAAGAAGGTTTCTTTCTCTCAACAACACAATCGTAGCATCACAATGTTAGATATTTCATAAGCCATCATTGTCAAAAATTAGTATCACATAAAGTGATATAGTTCTCTGACCATAAGAAAATCATCCATAATTTGGTGAATGCATTTTCTTGCTGCATATTACATGATACGAACGTACCTTTACACAGAGATTTATAGAAAATTTCAATGGTCTGGATGGCTGGCTCTTTGGAGATTTCATGTTCATAGCAGATTATCGAAGGCTCGAAAAATTGTTGCTTATTTTTAATACAACTGTTGTATATTGATTAGATCTTTACATTTAAGTCCCTAATTAGCTATAAATAACATTTCCTTTTTGTGAAGTGAACAAGGTAGTATATATATGTATGTATGTATGTATGTATGTATCTTTGTTCCAAGAGGTTACAGATAGCTAAATGCTCATGAATGGTGGCCACCCAAATGTCAGGTCCCTATGTAACCACCACATTTTACAACTTTTACACCCATATACATATATGTGTGTGTGTGTGTGAATATATTCTCATATTCCTATTTATAAATTTAAAATACGAGAGAAGAAAAGAAGAGTTGCTTTGTCTGGTGGTAGGGCAATTGCTTCTCCATTTAGCCAACCTTTTTTTCAAGTCTTCTTGTCAAACAAAGCATAGCCTTACACTCATGTTCTCCTCTTTTTATCCTCAAAATGAAGAAGCAACTAGATCATGGATGTCATATTCAATCTTCTTCGCTTCTTTTGTCCTCATTACCTATCCATTTTCTCTTCCATGGGTGTGGGTGTGGGTGTGGAATGATTATCTAAACAAAAGAGACATTGATTCGATAGTTAAAATTCGATCTAATAATTTTGAGGTTGTGAGTTTAAAATCAAGAACAACCATTTTATATAAATAATGTAAAAAGTTAGACATCTACACAACCTATTCCTACGATACCTCCATTAAGGGCTTGTTTGGTTGCCGTATTAGAAATGGACATATTAGATAAAGTAATACTGGCTAATACAACATAGATGGATAAAATACTTAAATGAGATATTAAAATAATACGTAATTTTATCTAGTGTTTGACATACACAATATAAGCGATAGTAATTATTTAGTCCAATCTATTGTTTAGTTAGAGAATTATTATATCGTATTAATGTTAAATTAACAAAAATATCTTTAATTAATTATAGTGTTTGACACTACCAACAACATGGATGATATCATGATTCCTTCCAAATGCCATCATCGTTAATCGAGAATATGATCGAGATTTACCCCCATTACCAAAAAATTCAACTTTATTCAATTTATACTTACAAAAAAAATTTCATTAAGTTAAACAAAATTTCATTGAGTTAATAACAGTAATAATTAATTGACAATAATATCAATAAAAATACCATCAATCAAAAAAATAAATCTTTATTCAAATCAATCCATTTATGTGAACCATTGTAGTAAGTTTGTGTGAAACAATTGTTATTTAAAAACAGAATAACATTTAAAAAATTTTATTAAAAAAAAAAATAACTGCTACCCGAGTCAAAAAAAAAAATGAAATTTTAATCCTCATGCACAACTTCCAAAATGAGAGCAGAAAAAGGAAAATCATCCAGCCTCATTAGGTTGACATGCCAGTCGAAGAGGAATGAACAACGAACGTGCATCACACAGAAAACCATAAGATAATGAGGGTTCAACATGGGTCAGAATACTTCTACTCAAATTATATTAGAAGAATTCTAGTAAAAGACAACACTACAACCTATCAGAATACATCAACTACAATCCCAATGGGGAAAGAACTTGGTTTTTGGTTTCCGCTCAAGTAAAAAAATAAAAAATAAAACAAAACCTCCACAACTATGTAGCTTTCTCCAAGCTTTTTCAGCAAAAAAAATTGGTGAACCATCCCTCCTTCAACCATAACGATAAGAACACCCAACCTTGCTGCCTCTAAACCAAACCATAACTGCTATAAGCCACCCCAACAAAACCAATAAAATTTAGAAATCAAATACATCACTGAACCACCAGCCCCACCCCACCACCACCACCGCGTAGCCGCCTCCAACAAGAAATCAAAAAACGTAAAGGAAACATGCATACATAAATCGAAACACTGAAAAAGAAGACACCTTACCTCGCCAAGACCCCTCCCGTTGATAGCAGCCAGTGAAGAACAATAGGAGTGA